AAGACCAATAACCCAACTAAAAATAAAGATCTGAATAGATGTCTCTCCAAAAATATACAAATGGTTAAGAGCAAAAGAAAAGATGCTCATCATTAGGGGATGTTCAACATTATGTAGGCATTTTCAGAAAATAGGGATTCTCAAAAAATCGATCATTTAGAAAATGCAAATTAAATTGCAGTGAGATACCACTAACACCAACCGTGATGTGAGTCAAAAAACAGGTAATATTGATGAGGATGTAGAGAACCTAAAATCCTTATACACTATTGTTGGGAATTCTACATGGTTCATCCACTTTAAAACAGTCTGGCAGTTCCTCAAAAGGTAAAACATAGAATTACTATGTGATCTAGCAATACCACCCACTCCAGGATTCCTGATACCCTGAAACTGAGATAATACTTATGTTTTAAGTCAACAATATTGGGGTAATTTGGTATGCAGCAATAGAAAACAAATACAAGGATGTTATAGATGGTTCAGGTATTGTGTTGGACTATTTTGTCTCTTATGATCCCTTTGGCTTTGAGAATCTAGGATTAGGTATGAGATTTTACTTGCCTAAAAGATTATTTCCCTATGAGGAGATAATGCTAAGCAGAGGAAAACAAATTTCCATTGATAACATTATTTGGGGGCTGCAGAAATAGCTTTGTTATGTAGAACCTGACTTTAGTTGTGGTAATGAAATGATACTTCTGTAGAGTTGGGATTAGCTGGAAGGTAGGACAGGAAAGGCTCCAGTCTCTGAAGGCTCTGAGATACCAGAAATGAGAAGGAGCACTAATTAGAAAACTTGGACACATGAAAACCATTCAGAGTCCTGGGCATCCACTCTGAGGATCTACTTTGCTTATTTCTTTTATGCTCTTTCTTGATCTGGATCTATTTATGGTTACCTGGTGGGTTATTTTTCTCCAGGCATCACCTCATTTAATTCTTTCAACAATATGCTGAGAGTGATTTTGATTTTATTATTATCACCCCTTTATAGAGGAACTGAAAGTCCCTTGAACAGCAAAGAGATCAAACCAGACAATCTTAAAGAAAATCAACCCTGAATATTCATTGGAAGGACTGATGCTGAAGCTCCAATACTTTGGCCCACCTGATGCGAAGAGCTGACTGACTGGAAGAGAACCTGATGCTGGAAAAGACTGAAGGCAGGAGGGAGAAGGAGGTGACAGAGGATAAGATGGTTGGATGGCATCACTGACTCAATGTTCGTTAAATTTGAGCAAACTCTAGGAGATAGTGAAGGACAGGGAAACCTGGTGTGTGGCAGTCCATGGGGTTGCAAAGAGTTGGACACAACTTAGCAACTGAACAATAACAATAGAGGAACTGATCCTGATTTTGTCTTTGTCTATCCATTCCAACTCTCCATCCTTTTCTGGCTACCAGGTCTCTCTATTAGAATCCTTCTTACAGGGAGACCCACTGTCCAACTCTTTGCCATTTCTTTACTCTTGGTTCCACCCCTGACTACCTAGTCCCAATTGACTTACCTAGGTTTTCTCAGAAGCAGGCTGTTATACCCTGCTGGCCATTTCTGATCTGCCAGAATGTGGGGATCATTATCCACTTTTGACCATGTTCCAGACCTAGGGATCTTCCCATCTAGCCAATATTCCCGCCCATCTTCTCCTCCATGCTGCTCTAGTCACTTGGACCTAGCACACAGACCCTGTCAGGCGCAAAGCTGTTAGTGTAAAAAAACAGGTGGGAGTCTTTTCTAGAAGGCTTCAGAGCTATATCATATTTTGAACAATCTCAGGTGGAGTACCCATCAAGGCTCATTCTGCTCTGGAAACCTATATTTTTGTGATTTCTCCTCTACATCTTGTATACATTGGATCTTTCTTTCATTTAACTTCTTAAATGATTACCCAAGGTCTCTTCTCTGACAGGGAAACAGTGAAACAATCTTTACAGGTTCATTTAAACCATTTGTTTATAACATTTTAAAGACAGTCTTTGAGAGAGATCATAACCTAGGGATTGCCTCTAAGGCTCTCAATACAAGTTTAATAAAATAGTGATCCTTCTTAGATAACAGGGCTGGGAAAGAATAAAGCCTAAAGAAACAGTGGTAGGGAAATTATAAGGTATGCATTTGCTTGTTTTCCTAGACTCTTAAACAAATTTTTTGTACAAACCAATGCTGACAGCTGCATTAAAAGCAGATGAGAAAGTTAGTTTGGATGAGTTTTTAGCACCTACAAAATACTCAAGTAAATTGTAACTACTACTTTCAGTCAAACAGATGATCAAAGACATTCTCTCCTTTTGATCCTTGTTGTTCAGGTTCTATTGCCTTCCCCATCAGTAGGATTCACTCGATGTATAGATAAAATCTGCAGAAACCTCAGCAATCAACAGGCAACTCCATAGCCTTTTTCTCTCATAGCCTTTTAACTACAGTGCTTTAACTTATTTTAGCACCTTATATTTCCCTACCACTTTACACCATGACATTCCTACATTGAAATCATTATGTAATATGAAATGTGAAGGGAAGCAGTTGTCAACCTTAGAAAGATCTGAGCATTTACACACCTGGATCTTTACAGTGGTCAGTTCAAAGGCAAAACCATCTATCTAGTCACAGAGGGAGGAGAGTTACACTGAAATTATGACTATTCAGTGTCTTTATTACTTTGAAGACCAAAGTGTGTTTGATCCTTGTTCTGATACCTGCTTCCTGGTAACACTGTGTGGAGAAGATGATGCATCTCAGTGACCATGTTAGCATTTAATTCTTGCTTATACCATTTTCCCAAACCATCATGAGGAGCATAAAGAAACAAAATAGTGTACTTAATAAACACAAGTGATCAACATAAATACTTTAAACATAGAAGTTTTAATTCATTTGGCCAACAAAAGAAATACGTCCTTGTTAAAGAAGATTTTAAGAGTGTCAGAAAGGAGGAAGAAATTTAAAAATCGTGTTTATATACCCATACCCAAAAGACAACCATTAACAATACTTCACTGCATTGCCTTTTGGGCTTTTATTCATGCACAGTTTTAAAAAAACATTGCTATGATCATTATATCTATATCTATATATCATGTGTGTGTCCTATTTTCACTTCCAATTATAACACAAGCAAAAATGCATACTTTCAAAGTTGTTAGTACAGAATTTAGTAAAAATATGTGTTTCAGTTGAATTCAAAGTCGAGGTTATAATATCACTTTGAACATCATAATACATATTTCTTTATCATTCTACCACATCCTATTGTTGCATTATTTAAGTTAAACATTGTATCTTTTCTAGGCTTTGGAGAGTGTTATCATTTTGGGCAGTGAGTATGATTGTTAGTTATTATATTTTATGACAAATTAAAAATGCTGCTTTAAATCTGTTACATTGCACTAGGTCTGACATCTATAATGTGGAATATTTTATTCAACTCATAACATATTACCAAAGATCTAGCATTACCTTTGAAATGAAATAATTCTATTTTTTATAATAATAATAGACTTCTGTGAATCAATGATTTAAAACCCCCAAATTACAAATATTTATTAAACCCTTCAATGTTACATTAGTTTTCCTCCCACACACCCATGCTGCAGTCCTGATATAAGACACATAAGGAAGAGTAATCAAGAAGTAAATTTTTTTCTTTAAAAACTGTCAAAAGCTTGCTACACCAGCATCCAGCAACAGGAGGAGAAATGTCTCCAGTCTACTATACTCCCCTCCAAGCCAGGTTTTAATTTGTTGAGAAGGGGGAGAAAAGCCTATAAAAATCTTGGCAAAATACAGAGCTGCTAATTTAATCAATTTTAGTAGTTAAGGCAGTGATTCCAAGTGCTAACACAATCTGTTGAAAAGAACTAATTTCCAAGGTAGAGGAGATTCATTTATTTCTACTTTTTCTTGCCAGTTTTCTTATCTGAGGGTACGTGGGCAGCCATCATGCACCCACTGAGGGACCCCCTCCCCACACAAGGTTTAGTAGGATTAGGTTCTAACTCAAACCCTGAAGTAGCAGAGAAATATCTCTCCTTTTCCAGGAAGAGGGCTTTCCAGATGCCAATCAAGTAGACCTTGACTTATGTAGTAATAGATACCTGCTTGAAAGTGCAGTAATAGATAAAATCAGGCTGAACCAAAAGAAATAACTAGGTGCTTTTTATGCTTTGCCAGAGAAAGAGAGAGAGGCACGGGGTGGGAGATGCTCTACTTCTTACCTGGCACTGAAATCTTCCAGCTCTCATTGCCTCTTGTCATTAAATCTCTTTTATAGTAGTCAGTATAGTGGCACCATATTTTGATATATTTACAGATATGTTTCTAATTCCTGGTAGTTCATTTATATCTTCAATGAAAGCTATACTGTGAAGCACTGATTACCTTGGGGAAAGGCTGTTACAGCAGAAAACATTTTCAAATATGACAAACCCAAAAGCTGAAAATCTCTGAGCATGGATAGTTTGGAAGATCTGAGGTCCCACACCTCTGAGGCTAAGTAAGTAGTAGTAGTGTTAGTTACTCAGTCAAGTCAAACTCTTTGTGGCCTCAAGGACTGTAGCCTGCCAGGCTCCTCTCTCCATGGAATTCTCCAGGCAAGAATACTGGAACGGGTTGTCATTTCCTTTTCCAGGGGATCTTCCCAGCCCAGGGATCAATTCATGGGTCTCCTACACTACAGGCAGATTCTTTACCATCTGAGCCAGCAGGGAAGCCCGAGACTAAATAAAGTTTACTTGAACTAGAAGATGAAAAGAGAAAATCAGAAGGAAAGCAGGTTTAGACACTAGTGAGTTCCTAAGAAAGAGTTCAAGGTCCTTCTCTAACTTATCCAATGTGGTGTGAGGAAGAAGGGTAGAGGAGACCTGTGCTGCATCCCCAGACAGAGCCCAAGAAGGCTTCAAGATACCAGAGTCCTCCTCACCCAGATGATGAGGGCGCACGGGAAACGCCTGTGCCTTGGCACGTGGGAAAGGGGCCGCCTCGCAGCACCCCTTGGGCCTCAGTGTGGTGTGGAGAGACGCAAAATGCTTTCCACACAGCTGAGAGTAACACAGACTTGGGGCAGGAGCTTAGACACCCCACCTAGTTTTCTGCAGTCTAAGAATGGTGAGGAAGCATGGAAGAGGGAAAGAGAGTTATCCAGAGAGACTCTGCAGTCAGAAAGAGAGACGACGGAACAAGCCCTTGGGCCAAAGTCAGGGGAGGTGGACAGGATGTGGTACACTCCAACAGACATGAGCACGGCCTCATGAACACGGACAAGGCGCCGCCCATTTCCACCCTGACACTGGGGCACCATGTCAGGCAGGAGGTCGCTTGGCAGGATGATACTAAAAAGAGAGAGAGAAATTAAGTTGCAGAATAATGAAGAAAGATACATTTCTTGAAAAACTAATTCATATTAGGAGATTTATGCCAATTATATGCATTCTACAGAATTTCCAATAAATGTACACCATGAACCACTTTTTAAAAAACAATGTCGTATGGATTGGACTTTGAACAAGAACTGGACATCATGAAGGAATATGAAGAAAAGAATATCATTGCTGTGTTCTGATCAATATTATGCTCAGATTGGAATCACAGCTTTATCACATCTCCTGGGGTGGGATAACTATTTTCCGTCATTTTTTCAAGAATGGATTGATTGAGTGATCAAGATTCTAGAAATAACTGAAGGATTATGCCATACAGTCCAGCTTATGCTAACTGCTCAGTTGGTAGACTGACAGAGTATTGTAATAATTTCTTCTCAGTTCTTGTGGTGTCACCACCAGCATCTACTTCTCATCAATTTCCATATCTCTGCCATGCCATGATGACCTGGGATACAGTTAGTGGTGAGGGATAAGGGCTGTTAGAAATCACAGATTAGACAAACTTCAAGAGACAGCAGGACAGCATTTACTTCAGTTCTTGCTTCCAAGCAGGTCTGCAGCTAAATCATTCAAGAGGAGTGATTGTCTATTCTATTTTTAAAGATCCCAAAGGAAGATAATCTCTAATAACATGTATTGATATATAATCTATATTTTGAGAAGGTCCTGGGTTGGGAAGATTCTCTGGAGAAGGAAATGGCAACCCCCTCCAGTATTCTTGGCCTGGAGAATACCATGGACAAAGGAGCCTGGCCAGCTCTAGTCCATGAGGCTGCAAAGAGTCAGACACGACTGAAGCGATGTAACATAACTTTCCTTTTAGCAAACCTAGACCTAAACCCAACTCTTTTTTGTTCTCTTCTTTGTGAATTGTAATAAAAATATGTTATATAGTTTTATTCTGAAATGCTGTTGTGGGCTTAAATATTGGATTTTTGCTTAAAGACAGCATTTATTCTCCTAGACATGTTGACCCTTTTAGAAAAAAAAAAGTTTCTGGATTAAATTAAGACTTTTTTTTTTCTTTTTTAAATTAAGACCTTTTTAAGTTGCTCTCTCAGAGGCAGATTACTGATTGCTAAAGTGGTGATTCTATGCTGAATGATAAACTAATAGCTGGGGTAGCTGACTCTTCCCTGAAGTGCTCTCTTTTGCTCAGAGGAGGGAAGGAACAAGACGTGGAACCTGAGGCAGAACAGCTCGTTACTCAGCCCAGTTCCAAACAGGGTCACTTGAAGGGTAGTGATTATGACAGGGCAAGCCAGAACAGATGCTTTTGTGATAAAATAGCCTCAAGTCCTGAAGTTTCTACATGAACCTTGAAAAGGACATTACTCTGAGATAAGTATTTAAGATGAGTTAGAAAACAGAATTCTATTCAAGTCTGCTAAGAAAATCAGTTGCAATTCATGGGGTTGCAAAGAGTTAGACACAACTGAGCAACTAAACTGAACTGAAGAAAATCAGCAAGAGATCATTAAGTGATAAAGTAAAGAAAGGTTAAAGATTAGTAGGAAATGTAGTACAATGTACTTGGGTACTCATGGGTTTGTTTAACCCAATATTTCTAATCATATAAGTGATATTGAAACAGATTTTCTATGTATAAAAGCAAACATTAGTATTATGGCTGGAACACGGAAGAAGACATGGAAGCAACCTAACTGTCCATTGACATAGGAATGGATAAAGAAGATATAGTACATATATACAATGGAATATTTTCAGCCATAAAAAAAAGAAGGAAATAATGCCATTTGCAGCAACATGGATGGCCCTAGAGATTGTCATACTGAATGAAGTAAGTCAGACAAAGAAGGAGAAATACATGACATTCCTTATAAGCAGAATCTAAAAAGAAATGATACAAATGAACTTGTTTACAAGACAGAAACAGATCCACAGACTCGGAGAACTAACTTATGGTTGCTGGGGGAAAGGATGGGAGGAAGGGATGGGGGTTTGGGATGGACATTGCTATACATTGTTATATTTAAAGTACACATTGCTATATTTAAAATGGATAATCAACAAGGACCTACTGTATAGCATGCACAACTCTGCTCAATGTTATGTGGCAGCCTGGATGGGGGAGAATGTATACACAAATATGTATGGCTGAGTCCCTTTGCTGTCCATCTGAAACTATCACAACATTGTTAATTGGCTATACTCTAATACAAAATAAAAAAGATTTTCTTTAAAAACAATAGAACTATGGCTAAAGTCTCCTTTAGCCACTCCTTCCCCAATTCTATTAGCTTTCCTAGGGAGCGGTCATTCCTTTGTGTTTGGGATATGACTGTTTTTCTGACCAGTACAACCCCTTCATCCTGGGGCACAGGAAGATGATGAAACAGATGGTGGAGGACAATCAGTATTCCCTCTGTTCTTAGACATTCGAAGGTTCAAAAGAGTGTCACTGACAGCTTCCAGTTCAACCAAATCATGATGCAAAAAAAAAAGAATCTATTATTTTGACACATAGGCTTTCATTTTAAAGTTTACACTATAATTGCCAATTTTTTTTTTTAATTTTAAAATTTCTTTGAGCCTTTTCAAAAACAATAGAGAGAAGACACATCGAGCCCAACTAGTCTGCCACCATTAACTTGGAAGGTTTTCATTTCATTTCCTGTGTGATCAGTTGTCTCCTCTCATTTCTGGAATACTGTAATAATTTCAAAGCAGTCCCCATATATCCCTATTCCCTCCTCACCTCATATTTTCTCTCTCAACTCCTTCCTTACAATTCATCCAAGCATTGTTATAAAATTTCATTGTCATTTTGTGAATCTTCACAGGCTTCCCACTGCCTGCAGAATAAAGTCCCTATTCCCTTCAGGTTGGCATTCCACAATCAGATCTCAGTATGGGACCTTAGTTGTCCACACTTACACCACTCACTACTCAAACGCTATTACAATCACTGTCCCTGAATATTCAATGGACTATGACTATCTCATGGAGAAGGAAATGGCAACTCACTCCAGTATTCTTGCCTGGGAAACGCAGTGGACAGAGGAGCCTGGTAGGCTACAGTCCATGGGACTGCAAAAGAGGCAGACACAACTTAGTGACCAAACAACAAGCTACCAAGAGAAGTTCTAAGGGATCCAGCTGTCTCATGTACATTAGGGTGATGAAGAGGGGAGAGATAGCTTCCCTGGTGGTCCAGTGGTAAAGAATCTGCCTGCAATGCAGAGGATTTGGGTTTGATCCCTCGGTCAGGAAGATCTCCTGGAGGAGGGCATGACAACCCACTCCGATATTCTTGCCTGGAGAATTTCATGGGCAGTGGAGCCTGGGGGGCTACAGTCCATAGAGTAGATGTGACAAAGAGTCAGACATGACTGAAGCGACTTAGTAGGCACACATGACTATCTTAACATCATTACCCTGACTCTTATCCTATCTGAATTCATTCCCCTTCATTTACCTGAATTCAATCTGTACTGGAGTTACAACTTCTTTCCTTTTCTTTTTTTTTGCTGCACTGCACAGCTTGTTGGATCTTAATTCCCTGAACAGGGATTCGACCCAGGCCTACTGCATTGCAAGTGTAGAGTCTTAACAACTGGGCCACCAGGAAAGTCCCTTGGAGTTACAATTTGATAATACACTTCAATAACCATAGAAATGTTCAAATCTTTGGATTTGGTAATCCCACACCTAAGAAATTATTTTAATAAACAGAAGTAGAGGAAGGGTTAAATCAATTATGATACATATACTTAATAAACTATACATAGTTAAAATCATAATTAGAAGCAGTATACAGCTTTGAAAATGCTGATGATAAATAGAAAAAGTAAAGTATAAAATTGTGATTAAATCTGGAAACCTGGAAAGGGAACCAGAGAAAGAGAATTTGTGAGGTGGTGGGATGGCCAAAGAGTAGATGATTCTTTTTCTTTTATTTGAATTCCCTCATGGCCATTTTAATGCTGTTCTTATATCTAATTGTCTTAAGGAATGATCTAGAGTCCAGATTCAAGATCAGACCCATGAGTTGAATGATTCCTTCTTAATAGTCTCTAAAATGATAGTAAAGGAATTAAAAAAAAAAAAAGGTATTAAAGGACTTCCCTGGCAGTCTAGTGGTTCACACTCTGTGCTTCTAATGCAGGAGTGTGGGTTTGAACCCTGGTTGGGGAACTAAGGTCCCATGCCACACCATGTGAGCAAAGGAGAAAAAGGTATTAAAAAGTACAACAATAAAGACAGTGAAGGCTAGAGCAGCTCTGTAATTTGGGATTAAGTTCATTTTGAATAACAGAAAAATCTAAAATAATAGTGTCTTAAATAAGACAGTTTATTTTTCTATTATGTTCCAGAAGGCCAGAAGTGGTCAGCCTAGTGTTAGGGACCTCAGACTCCTCATTTTTTGCTCATCCTTGTTTCTATTCCCAAGATCACCTTATGGTCCAAAATGACTGCTTGAATTACAGCCAGCAAATATTTAACAACACTGCCAACATGAAGATGGAAAGGATGAAGAAGGATGTGCCTTCCTTTTGAGGATGTTTCTTAGTGAAAGAACACTTTCATTTATGTCCCTTTGGCCAAAATTTATTCATAGCACTGTAGCGAGCTGTGGCAAGAATGACAGATATAAACTTTATTCTGGGTGGCCACATATCCACTTAAAAATTGGGAGTTCTATTACTAAGGAAGTGGATACTGGGGGACAGCTACTATTCTACTATGAATTAGGAGTCATTATCAAATAAGAAATTGCCTTATATTTCTGGAAGACAAAAAGCAACTGGAGAAATGTTACTGATTGATGAAGCAAAGCAAAGGAGGATGTAGCAGGAATATGTACTAGGGGATACTGATGAGGAAGAAGTCAGTATGTCCTGAAGAGGTCTGAGATTCAGAAATAACTGGACCATTGCTGAGAAAAAGAAAATACAGGTAGTTATAAATAAGCTAAATCCTTTTCT